TATCCCCTATCCCATACCCCATATCCCATATTATCCCCAGGGGCGCCATGGCGGCGCTGGGCCCGGCTGCGGCCGCCTGGCTGCTGCTGCCGCTGCTGCTGCTGCTGCTGAGCCCATATCCCCATACCCCATATCCCATACGCCATATCCCTGATCCCATATCCCATATCCCATATCCCTGATCCCCTATCCCATATTATCCTATATTATGCCCTATCCAGGCTCCTCAGGGCGCCATGGTGGCGCTGGGCCCGGCTGCGGCTGCCTGGCCGCTGCTGCTGCTGCTGCTGCTGCTGCTGAGCCCACAGTCCCATATCCCCTATCCCATATCCCCTATCCCATATCCCCATACCCCTGATCCCATATCCATACCCCATATCCCATATTATCCCCAGGGGCGCCATGGTGGCGCCGGGCGCGGCTGTGGCCGCCTGGCTGCTGCTGCTGCAGAGCCCACAGTCCCATATCCCATATCCCTGATCCCATATCCATATCCCATATCCCATATTATCCCATATTATTCCCCATTCCAGGGGCGCCATGGCGGCGCCGGGCCCGGCTGTGGCCACCTGGCTGCTGCTGCCGCTGCTGCTGCTGCTGAGCCCGCAGTCCCATATCCCATATCCCATATTATCCCATATCCCATATCCCATATCCCTGATCCCATACCCCATATTATCCCATATCCCATATCCCATATCCCATATCCCTGATCCCATCCCCATATCCCATATCCCATATTATCCCCAGGGGCGCCATGGCGGCGCTGGGCCCGGCTGTGGCCGCCTGGCTGCTGCTGCCGCTGCTGCTGCTGCTGCTGCAGAGCCCATAGTCCCATATCCCCTATCCCATATCCCATATCCCATACCCTATACCCCATACCCCATATCCCATATTATCCCATATTATCCCCTATCCAGGCTCCTCAGGGCGCCATGGCGGCGCTGGGCCCGGCTGTGGCCGCCTGGCCGCTGCTGCTGCTGCTGCTGCTGCTGCTGCAGAGCCCGCGTGGCTGCGGCGCGGCGCCCGACGGTCCCAACGGCACGTGCCGGGGCTCGGCGCGCTGCCAGCCCGGGGTGCTGCTGCCCGTGTGGCAGCCGGACGAGCCGGCGGCCGGGGACAAGGCGGCGCGCGCCATCGTCTACTTCGTGGCCATGATGTACCTGTTCCTGGGCGTGTCCATCATCGCCGACCGCTTCATGGCGTCCATCGAGGTGATCACGTCGCGCGAGAAGGAGATCACCGTCACCAAGGCCAACGGCGAGACCAGCGTGGGCACGGTGCGCATCTGGAACGAGACCGTCTCCAACCTGACGCTGATGGCGCTGGGCTCGTCGGCGCCCGAGATCCTGCTGTCGCTGATCGAGGTGTGCGGGCACCGCTTCCAGGCGGGAGAGCTGGGCCCCGGCACCATCGTGGGCAGYGCCGCCTTCAACATGTTCGTGGTGATCGCCGTCTGCGTCTACGCCATCCCGGCGGGCGAGAGCCGCCGCATCAAACACCTGCGCGTCTTCTTCGTCACGGCCTCGTGGAGCATCTTCGCCTACATCTGGCTCTACCTGATCCTGGCGGTGATCACGCCGGGCGTGGTGCAGGTCTGGGAGGCTTTCCTGACGCTGCTCTTCTTCCCGGCCTGCGTGGTGTTCGCCTGGGCGGCCGACAAGCGCCTGCTCTTCTACAAGTACGTCTACAAGCGCTACCGCGCCGACCCGCGCAGCGGCATCATCATCGGCACCGAGGCCGAGCGCCCGCCCAAGGACCCCGAGGCCGACGGCGGCTTCCCGGCGCTGCCCGAGCCCGAGCCCGGCGCCGGCGCCTCGGCCTCGCCCACGCCCGAGGAGAAGGAGCTGGACGAGAGCCGGCGCGAGGTGATCCAGATCCTCAAGGACCTGAAGCAGAAGCACCCGGAGAAGGAGCTGGAGCAGCTGATGGACGCGGCCAACTACGCGGCGCTGGTGCACCAGCAGAAGAGCCGCGCCTTCTACCGCATCCAGGCCACGCGSCTCATGACGGGAGCGGGYAATGTCCTCAAGAAACACGCGGCGGAGGCGGCGCGGCGCTCGCCGGCCACGCCCGGCGATGACGGCGACGACGACGACGAGGACGAGGCGTGCAGCCGCATCTTCTTCGAGCCGTGCCTGTACCACTGCCTGGAGAACTGCGGCTCGGTGACGCTGGCCGTGGCCTGCCAGCAGGGCCTGGGCGCCAACCACACCTTCTACGTGGACTTCCGCACCGAGGACGGCTCGGCCAAGGCGGGCTCGGACTACGAGTACAGCGAGGGCACGCTCATCTTCAAGCCGGGCGAGACGCGCAAGGAGCTGGCCATCGGCATCATCGACGACGACATCTTCGAGGAGGACGAGCACTTCTTCGTGCGCCTGCTCAACCTGCGCGTGGGCGACGCCGAGGGCATGTTCGAGGCCGACTCCGACGAGCACCCCAAGGGCAAGCTGGTGGCGCCGCTGGTGGCCACCGTCACCATCCTGGACGACGACCACGCCGGCATCTTCGGCTTCCGCGAGCGCTCGGTGCGCGTCAGCGAGTGCCAGGGCCACGTGGAGGTGACGGTGGTGCGCAGCTCCGGCGCCCGCGGCACCGTCATGGTGCCCTTCCGCACCGTCGAGGGCACCGCGCGCGGCGGCGGCGTC